CAACTCTTATCGTCTTTATTTCATTGGTAGGCGGGTGCTCAGGTGTGCTTTGCTCCTTCTTCTTCCCTGTAAACGTCAACTCTTATCGTCTTTATTTCATTGGTAGGCGGGTGCTCAGGTGTGCTTTGCTCCTTCTTCTTCCCTGTAAACGTCAACTCTTATCGTCTTTATTTCATTGGTAGGCGGGTGCTCAGGTGTGGTTTACTCCTTCTTCCCGATCATTCTTGTCCCTTCTTTTCTCTGTATGTTACTCTCAAAGAACACCTCTAATCTTTGGCACTTATATGGCCTTGCGTAGCAAGTGCTGTTTAACTCTTGGCTAAAACTGAACTAAACTAATCAAGTATCAATCAAGTCCTTGTCGTGATCCGCAGGTCATAAACCCAAACGTCTCTGACAACAAGCAACACGACTGACAGTGATAGTAGGTTACACAGACACAGTGAGGAAGGCAACAGCCTCGTTCTGGCAACGATAAACAATCAAAACTTAACACCTGATCACCTCTGCAACCTGGTGACGCCAGCAGGTGTGACGTCACGATCATGTCAATGTGTCAGATTTACAACAAAAAAATCACACGTGTTTCCTGGAGACACGGGTGTAGGTTGTGGGTCCATGAAGTACATCCGGCACCGTCAGTGTACGCCACGAATAGACCTCCCCTCCCTTGTTGCGTTAAATTTGACAAGACTAGAAAACTTTGACCGTCGCGTGGTGCTATTGACTTATCGTTCACAACACAGCCATTTCCTCCCATAACGGCTTCAAGTGCCGACTGTTGCATATCGCTGTTGCTATGTTGAGAGTTTCCTGAGTCGATACCTTTCTAGATTTATCAGCATCAGCCTCTCCAAATCTACACTGTTCACGACTACGTGAAAAACACCCCACTAACACAAAGACAATCCCCCACCCCCCTCCAAACCAAACAACAACTACACCCCAAACCAAACAACACCAAAACAAACAAGAACAAACCAACCCACCACCATCACCACCAAATTCTTAAAATGAGATTCGCAAACAACGCCAGGCTGCCTATATGTGACCAAACTGATAGATGAGACACTGTATACTTAGTCATTTACGTTCTGAAAGTTAACTTTTAAGCTTTTACCAATGAAAGAACACCCACCTAGTTGGGGTGCTGCAAGCAGACTCGGTAGTAGACCAACAAGAGATGCCTAATTCTTCCTTGTTGTCATAATCGTCGTCAAACATATTATCATCATTATTATTATTGTTATTATTTGTATTATCATCATCATCATCATCATTATTATTATTATTATTATTATTATTATTATTATTATGATGATGATTATTATTATTTGTATTATTAGTATTATTATT